GTGTAAGTGTAGCGTGTACACCCGGGGCGTACTATGGCTCCCGAGGTGCCTCCAGGTCGGCGCTGACCGGCCGCCCCCGGCCCGCCCCTGGCCCGGACGCTCCTCGGACCATCAACACTCGGGGGCGTTAAAGTGCGTTAAAAACGCTGCCGCAGGACGCTACGCTACCCCATTTCCATTCATCGCCTGGTGCATTATAATTATTGCGCGGTTGAAACAAATGAAGTTTGGTATGCGCGCGCCCGCGAGCGTGATGGGGCGTGGCGGAGCGTGGCGCGTGGCCGGCGACAGGCACGCTCCGCGCGTAACGTCCCTCCGCCCTGTTGGCGTCCGCGACGGCAATTATCATAATCACGCGATCGTGATGAACGGCAGGAGAAATGGTCACCGCTGCTGCAGGAGCGGCGTGCCGGCGCGTTGCGGACGGCGGTACTGGAACAGGATGTGTGTGACGGGGAGGCGGTCGGAGCAGCGAGCGGGGGAGCGGCAGGTCCAGCAGCAGCGGCGGCGGCTCCCACGAGCGAGGTCGGCCGCTGGGGGTCCCCGACGATGACCCCCCGAGCTGCTGCACGGCGTCAGACAACTCTGGGGTGAGCCGCGCTGACCACGCAGCTGACCCCTTCCTCCGGCAACAGCCGGGAATCAAAACGATATCGCGTGGACGCCATCTGCCTGTCAGTCAGCAGCTGCCGCTGCTGCTGCTTGTCAGCGCCCTCCTCGCCGACGCCCCGCAGCGGACGCCTAATCGAAGTCCCCGGCACGACGTCGACGACGTACCCCGCTTGCCGCGCACCGGCTCGGCCCGGGCCGCCGCCAGATTCGCATTTGTCACGGTCGGCGCGCGGAAATTTGATTTTTTCCTTCCGGTCGAGCTGTTGGGCTTGGCGCGACTGTCCGGCTGGCGCGGCTGGGCAGGGCCGGGCAGCAGTGTGATGCTCCACCTAGCTTCCTCTATAGCGGCCGCTTAGCGGCGGGACCCAGCCAACCCGGCGCGGCGCCTTCCGAGAAAAGTCAGGAGTTCACAGGTCCGTCCCGCTGATGGCCACGGGCAGGCCGGTCTGGTGCCGGACAGAGCGCGGGAGAGACCGCTGCCCCGTCTGGTTCGTGGGGCTGCGAGAGTTGGACAACTCACGTAGTATACCATAGTACCTCCAAGTACCCAGGCACCGGTACGTGGGTGAGAACACACATCGGTGTTGCGGGTTCGCATACTCTTTCGGCCAGGCGGGGCCATAGCGCCCCCGGTACACATTAGGCCCTCTCTCTCTCTCCAGGTTCTACAGTCACAAGTAAAACGGGACTGCAGGTGCAGCTCGCAGCTCCCTTCCAGTCGGAACACGCCCCAATAGCGCTCCCCGCACATTTCACTTCAGACTGTAGGGTTTAGTAAACGACGGCTTGTTGCGTCAGTATATTACCCTTTGGGTCCCGCAGCAGCGAGACTGCCATCCGTTGGTCCCACACAGCAGCAATCGATGGCCATTATGTTAACGCCCCTTTCTCTCTGTCTCTCCCCTCCTCTCTCCATCTCTCTCTCTCTCTCTCCCTCACTCCTCCACGGCGTGGCGGTGCGTGGCGCAGTGTTTTATATACCCAGCTTCCTCTTCCTTTCCGCCGCCACAGCTTTTGTTTCCCGTGAATGGATTAAGGCGTCCGTCAACCGCGTCATTAAGTGGGTCATTTGGGCACCACGACGGCGGGAAGC